GTCTGAAATTCTTTTTAATTCTAAGTGATCACTGGAAATTCAATCGAGGGAAGCATATGATACAAGAGGATCAAATTCTGTTCCCATTTACTCTGGTGTACATCTGAAATAACTCCAATTATTTTATTTATAACCTTACACCAAAAGCAGAATTTAGCTCCAAAATTTAAAAAAAAATTATAGTGAAAGAACTCAATTTTCTCTACTATTAGTTTCAGTTAAGGTTGAAGAGCATTGGTGAAGCAGTGGGGCCTATAGTCCCTCTAATATTTTCCTTTTCCATCCATGCATGGAATACTTTTTATGTGCACCGAGCCATGTGTGCACCATCAGTAGAAACAAAAAACTTAGCTGTGGGCTCCCTGCTGATCATCTGGGCAGCATCTGAACCTCTCTGAGTATATAGTAGTGTTACTTCGGAATAACTAGCATTATTCCGAAGTAACATAGTCGGTGTCCACACACAAGCAATTATTTTGACATAATGTCCTGCCAGAGGACTGCTTACTCTGACTCCTGTAACCCTCATTTTATGAGGTGTATGGGAAGTCGGAGGAAGACTGCTCTTCCTCAGACTTCCCGCTGTGTAGACAGCACCAAAAGCCGAAATAAGCTATTTCAACTTAAGCTACACAACTGCTATAGCTGAAGCTGGGTAGCTTATTTTGGCGTTAGCCCTGCTCTGTAGACGTGCTCTGAGTGGCTGCACGAAGACACAATATACTACTGGGGCTATTGTTTTCCACTGTCCTTAGACTTGAAACATTTCCAATCACAGAATAATTTTTAAAACCAAAACTGAGGCTGATTTCAGAAAGGAACTTCCAAGACATGTCAAGTGGCAAAGATTGCATGATTATTTTTAGTGGCTCAGCAGAAACTCAAATCTCTCTCTAGTCCCATATCTGAGTGAACATAGATTATTCATATTATAAAACTCAAAATATATTTAAATATATATAATCTAGTCCTACAAACACTACAGGTCCCTCCAGGACCTCAAACCCATTCCATCCAGTGGTGAATTATTTCCTCCTGAACATATGCTCACATGCAGCTTAGCAAAGATTGAAGTAGAAGAGAGAGAAACCAGTTCTAGAGATGGTCTTGCTGTGATCAGCCAAATTGTTAAGGATGCTATTAGCCAACAGAGAAACACTAACGGGCAAATATTGAGAACTCATCTCAAATTCTAAACATTTATTTTTGAATGTACATGTGACTTTGCCCACAAAAATACAGGGATGTTTGCAGGGCTGAAAAAGTGGGGGAAACTAATTACCATATTTACATGTTTCAAAAACAGGCATGCAATATTGGGGACAGCTTCAGTTTGATTGAAAATTTGCCTGCATATATCAAGGGACAATCTCAGTTTGTCACTGAAGGCATTAACCCTGATGGAGGTGATTGAACATGATTATAACAGTCAAATGACAATATTTGCAATTGAAAAGAAGTAACCCAGGTCTACATGACAGGCACTCTGAGGGTATGTCTACACTACAAAGTTAATTCGAACTAACAGACGTTAGTTCGAATTAACTTTGATAGGCGCTACACACGCGAACCGCTAGTTCGAACTTAATTCAAACTAGCGGAGCACTTAATTCGAACTAGGTAAACCTCATTGCATGAGGACTAACGCCTAGTTCGAATTAACTAGTTCGAATTAAGGGCTGTGTAGCCAC